AGGCTGAGCAGAGAGCCTGATGCGGGGCTTGATCCCAGGACCCTGGGATCATGACCCAAGACGAATGCAGAGGCTTTAACCCACTGAGCCACCCAGGTGCCCCCACATTATCATTATTTCTGAGATAGATTTTGTCCCAGGATATGGGGCAGGGCCAAAGCTAATCTTAAATTATCCTTTTTCCCAAGACTATAGCAATACAAGAGTAAGGACTTAAGTAAACCATGGAGCCTTCTACCTTTAAACTAGAAAGTATGAAAATGCTCTACTTCTGAGAACTAATACCTACTTGTAGAAGTTTCTGAACTTAAGAAAAGATTAAGTTTAAATTAAGGTTAAGGTTTCCTGTCATGGTTCTTCCCTTATGTAAAATGGTTTACATGCAAAGGTCAGTTCAAAACACATTCATCAGTTCAAAACACATTCATCATCATCGTGATTCAGCATGAGTCCTCAAGAACCAAGTCTTCTGGGTTCAAGTTCCATCTGGATCATTACAAGTTAGGTGATCTTGCCAAGTTATTTAAGATCTCTGGGCCTCCCTCATCAGGCTCTCTGCTCAGCAGGAAGCCTGCTCCCCCCCCCCGCCCCCGCCTGCCTCTCTGTCTACTTGGGATCTCTGTCTGTCAAATAAATAAATTAAAAAAATCCTAAAAAAAAAAAATCTCTGGGCCTCAGTTCCCTCACCTGTAAGATGTAGATGACCATAGTTTCTAATTCGAAGGATTAATAGGAGGATTGGTAAAGCACTTACAACAGTGCCTGCCTACACAGTAAGTTACCCATTATTACAATTGTGGTTAATTTCTGCATAAGAGACACGATGATAAGAGACACGTCTGATTCTAGAGGAGTTTCTGGGCTAGTGAAGAAGACAGATTCAAAAGCAGAATTCCAGTAAGAGGTACCAAGTGCCATGATGGCTTAACCTGCCACTGGCTATAATGGGGACAGAGAGAAGAGGTAGCTAATTTTACTGTGAAGAATTCCGGGAGGAGGGAATACCTAAACTAAGTCTTCAAAGATGAGTAGATGGCAAGGGTCTAGTGGAATCTTTGGAATCTTTTAGCCAAAAAATATTTCACCCAAAATGTGAACAAATAAAATCCTTTCTAAATGTCCTGATTTTATTAAGATTTTTTTTTTTTTTTGACAGAGAGAGAGAGAGACCACAAGTAGACAGAGAGGCAGGCAAAGAGAGAGGGGGAAGCAGGCTCCCTGCCGAGCAGAGAGCCCAATGCGGGGCTTGATCCCAGGACCCTGAGATCATGACCTGAGCCGAAGGCAGAGGCTTTAACCCACTGAGCCACCCAGGTGCCCCTATTTTAATAATCATAAACATCCAGCAGATTAAGAGAACTTGATCATATCAGTTGGAAAAGAAAATATCTAAGAGTAGTTGGAGCCCAGGAAAAGGGATTTATATTTATAGTCCCAAGAGAGAATAGCATTCCCTAAGATACAGCATTAAAGCAAGTGTCCCAGCTGGGAAAAAGAGAAAAAAGTAAACTCTTTCCATGGAAGAGAGAGGGTTTGGATTGAAACTCCTTCTGATCCTTTTTTAATATCCCTGCTTATATAATATCACAAAAAGGAGATGCTTCTTTGTGTCATGTTATCATCCACACACATAAAATAAACATGTATCATAGAGCATCTGCCTTATTTATACAAACTGGTTTTGTTAGAGAAGTTGTAATGAAGTGTCTCTTCCCAGGACCTCTTAGCCTTTGTAAATGATGATGATGATGGTACTAATAAATATCATTAACTAATTAATTATTATTATTATTAGCTAACTGTTATTTTTATTCATGGCAGGAAGTATAGAGAATCTGAAAGCAAAAATGTAGGCTCAAGTTGTTGACAAATCAATGACAGAACTGGGAATTCAACTTCAGTGATCGTGTCTCAAGCCCTTAGCAGGACCTCCAACATTGCAGCTACTGACCTAATCCCCTCAGAGTTACCCCATAAATCCCAAGTTTTTTCATGGGTTATGAATTTTTTGTTGATCAGGGGAGCTATTGGTATGTGACTCTTTGATTTTGCCATATTATTTTCCAGATTCCAAAGCAATTTTCACTTACCTTTTATTTCCCTAACTTCAGAGATTCCCAGCCTCTCTGAGGATGAGAATTTCTTTTTATGGTAGCAAAGTTTAGTGCATCCTGTTCTTTTTTGTATCTTTTAGTGGAAAAACTTAACAGAAACTTAACCACAAATTATCACGAATTCAGTACTTTTAAGTATGTATTTTTATTATTCATAATATATATTTAAAAAATAGTAGCACCTGTATGTGGAGAATAATTTTTGCTATAGATGATGCTTGGAAAGAGTATGGATGCAAGACAGCCCCCCTACACTCACTGAAGCCCTTGCTGATCAGGGGTTCTGCAATCATCATCAGATGAAATTTCATAGAAATTCATAGAAAGTTTACTTTAAATACATAAATGTAGCAAACCAAGGAATGGTGTATTTCAAAAGCTGTCTTAAAACCCAAAGATTTTCCATAAATTCTTGCTCTACTGCAGAAAAGAAATTGACTCCCTTTAAAGCCTTTGGAAAGAATGAGAGCAGAGCCATAGTTAACCTCTGTGTTCCAGTGCATCTTTCTGATTTGGTCATCAAGTTGGGCAGGTGGAGGGGAGAGAGAGAGAGAAAGGAGAAATGGGCAGAACTGGGCAAAACCTAGTATCATTATGAGACATCATTCGAAGTAAAATGAAGTCAACAGTTAAGGAAGAACATGTTCTACGGCCATTCATGCCAGATGAGTAAGAGTAATGGAAACAAAAAGTCAAATTGGCTCATCTCTGGCCACCATTGTAACTGTCTCTCTGCGTAGCTGCATCATGCGTTCCCATTCTCTTTTTGGGGGAGTCGTTTGGGTTAAGGAAAACAGATTCAAAGAAAAGATTTTTCTCAAGTTACTAAAGGACAATTCTCAGAATTGTCCCAACAAGAAGAAATGGTAGAGAATGCTTTTTTAAAAAGTTTCCAGTCATCTTGCCTTGAGAACCCTAGTTAAACCGCATGCTGTAAGTCAGTGTCATCTTTATTTCCTCCTTTCAAGCCCAAGAGCTTCTGTTGATGGACTTTTTTGACAGTAATTTCAGGCAAGCCTACAATTGAACAGCCAGGCAGAAATTGTGGTTCTCTATTTGTTAAATGCTTTTGAGGTCCTTACATAAAAGGTTGGTAATGAAGTATTAAGAGAAACATCTGAAAGGCTGTGGTTGGTCAAATTTCTCTGCATGGCACAAAGGGGAAGGTGACCTTATGCAGAACCCTGATAGTTCCATTATAAGAATAATCAAGATTTAATGTTAAATTTAAAAATCACTCTTCAAATGCTACCAAAAACAGACTCTTGGCAAAGTGTAAGTGTTTAATTCAAATTAGAGCTTATAGAGAAAAAGCAATTAAAATCTAATTACATTATACAGGAGATTTGTACATTTTCTCCTCAAAGTCAGGCAAGGCGACGAGGGGTTCTTAAACCCTGTTTTTAAATTAGAACTTTCTTTTACATCTCTTTTTTCTTTTTTCTTTTTGAATCCAGACACTTGAATTTGGACAGACAAGCAACCCAGCCACCTTTCAGTGTGGCTGTGTCAGTATCGGAATGAAATGAACATGACCCCCTCCAGCAGGGAAGGAACACACAGTAAAGGTATTTTTTATAGAACAATTCTTCACACTGCCCTGGTGACTGGGGAAAGGAATCTCGTGTTTCTCTTTTGCTGATACTGAATCAGCTGAAGAATACCATGAACATCAGTAGAAATGCTCTGAAATAGTCTCCGCTCCCTTTTGTCTTTTTGTTCTCATGAGGGGAAAAAGAGAGAGACTTTTTTTTCTTTTGAACGTGAAATATTTAATTAAAATGCCAATTAGAAATGAACCAATTATTTGGTGGTTCACTTTGTAACTGGAAGTGTTGCAAATGACTGCGTTAACTTGCAAATCATTGTATAAATTGGGCATATTTCTTACCAACTCTGTAATAAAGATGGCTATACTCATGTATGATAAGAATACCTTCTTGGCACAGGATGCTGATTGCAGCAAAGAAATGCCTATCCTCACTTCCTCAACAGTTTATGCAGCAGTTGGATTCAGACCTTGGTTAAACAGATGGTCAAAATGCAAACCGATAAAGAGGCTGAGCTTATGTATCTCAGTTGGGGAGAAACTCCAAACACCCTAGCAACCTGCACTTTCCAGGTCTGTCTTTTGTATCCCATTGTGTTAACTTGTTAACATTTCCGTGTATAGGTAACTTCATGTGATTCCCAAGAGCTACATGAAACTGACAGTAACATCACCTATCATTGGTGAGGTAGTTTATAATTTCCAAAGCACTTTCGCCAACATTGCCTCATTTTCGGAGCAACGTAGAAGTGTTTGTAAATTGTATACATTAAATAAATTTGTAGAAAGTTTAGATTTCTAAAATATTTCATTTCAAATGTGTTTATTCACCCAATACCAACTCAACGGCTCGAGCTAATTTTTATCTCTAAAACATGATGACGTAGTTACTTGGAATATTCTGAAAAAAGTGAAGTTAAGTCAGAAAGTGCAAAGTAAGAGCCCATTGCATTTTGTCTCCAGCCTTCACCTCAAAGATCAGATTCAAACACAGTAGAACTTGCTTTGAACCACCTTCCTTTTCTCCACAATGCTGACATCAGGATTTGGTTAAAAAGGGGAGGAGGGGGGGGACTACTGTCCATTTCCCCCAAAACCACTTAGAATATTTGTAGTATAGCAATTTATTAATCTGCTTTTAAATCTATTACTTAATTAGTCAGGGTCCTAAAGATTTACTGAAATCCGCCATAAATTTAGGAAGAGCCCCTACTCCATAGAACAGTTTTTCCTAGGAAAGATCCCAAATCTTCCCACACTTCAGGAAATGAAAAAGAGCCCTCTCCCTTACATACATTTACTTAGTCCCATTCCAGGTAGGAGTCCAGGTTACTTACCAGGTGTAGCTGAGTCGGAGGATACAGGTGAAAAGGAAGATGCACACAGAAGGCTTCGTAAGCAACATAATCCTCAGGAGCAACAGAGATAGAAAATTCTAAAAACGTGGGAGCCAGACAAGATGGGGAAATATACTCCTCAGTGGGAGTGGGGTGGAATTCTCCTCAGGTCCCAACTTTCCTGGTGTGTAAGCGATCCCAAACAGAGTTAAGGGGAGGTGAAATGGAGCTGCCAAACTTCCAAAGAAGAGATTATCTACTTAATTAAAGTTTTTTTCCCCCTTCTAAGTCCTTCAGCCAATCAGAACTCAAGTGCCAGAGAAAGATTGAGTCGATCAAAAGAACACTCCAGGATCCTCCCAGACAAATGCAGAAGAAGGAGACGAGGAAAAGGGGACAAAGAGAGGAACACGGAGAAAGAGGACAAAGAAAGAAGGGGGGGAGGAAAAGAGACATAGCAAATCCCCTCCACATAATCAGCGCTTGGGGTTTCTCTCCTCCCTCTTGCCTATGCCCTCCCGCCTCACCACTACCTCCCCCACCCATGCACACTCACCCGCAGACTGAGACACACAGAGAGGATAGCCTGGTCCCCAAAGGGATTTAGAAGGGACTGTGCTTTCCCGGTTGTCCTTTGTAGGGCTTTGAGCCTTAATCTGCATTCAGAGTAGCTTTCTTCAGAGAAAAATATACCATGTACTGGGTGAGCCTCAGCCCTCTGATTTGCAAATGTGGGGATTCAACCCAACCACCTCTGTAAGTTAGAAAGGAGCTTGGGCTACTTTAAGGAACCTGAGGGTTTCTTCCTTTCAACTTTTCCATGGAACACTTACTTGTTGAACGCCTGTTACATTCTCAACCCCACGCTAGGCAGCGTGGACATTTTAAAAAGACAAAACGTGATTTCTGCCCTAGAGACACTTATAGCCCAGTATGGTGGTAAGATAAGAATGTAATTTAATAAGGTATTAACTTGTTTCAAAGTGCCTGTAAATCATATAGGCTTATTTAGGGAAGGTTTTCTACAGGAGGTAGAATCTGAACTTCAAAGACGGATTGAGATTTCAATAGGTAACCAAAACCCTAACTTCTTAAGACTCTGGTGGTGAAGCAAGTAGGGCACTGAGATTCTTGCTCACACATCTGAGTTGCTGCCCCTTTTGTCCACTAGAGAGGAAGGGTCACCTCAGCCACAGTGTTGGGGTCCTCAAAGGGCCCCCAGCTGACTTCCACATGGCCACATCTCCTGCTTTGGCATCCACACCTCCTTTCCTGAGGACTCCCCAGAGGCAATGGTCTGTCTTTGTTCTCTTCCTTTCATCCTTGTTGCTCACTCTTCAGAACCCTTTCCAGACAGATCTACACTGGCAAACTCAAGTGACAAATAAAGAATTAGCAGATTAATTCATTATCAAATTATTCAGGCGGGATGATTGAGGGCTCTTGACCTAAATATTTTGACTATCTTTGTCGTCCACCTGGAATCTTCAAGACCAGGTCGTTATTTGGGATTCCTAACTGTGACATAAGCTTGGTGGGTTTTGACTCCCACTCAACTTTAGGTCCTCCGTTCTCTCTTCTTTTCCCCCTCAGCTTTATTGAGGTATGATTGACACATAAAAATTGTATAAATTTAAGGTGTACAATGTGATATTTTGACATATGTATATATTATATTGTGAAATGATTGCCACAATCAAGTTAATTCACACATCTATCACCTTACATGGTGTGTGTGTGTGTGTGTGTGTGTGTGGTAAGAAAATTTAAGATCTGCTCTCTTAGCAGATTTCAAGTATTATATACAGTAATACAAGTATTATTAACTACAGTCACTGTGCTATACATTTGATCCCCAAAACTTACTCATCTTACAACTAAAAGTTTGTACCCTCCTATATCTTTCTGTCTTTTATCATTCAGAAAGGAAGCAGCCCAGGGCACCTGGGTGGCTTAGTCAGTGAAGGTTAAATGGTTGACTCTAAAGATTCTTGGTTTGAGCTCAAGCCTCTGACTCTTCACTTAGGCTCAGGTTGTGATCTTGGATTCCTGGGATGGAGACCAGCACTTCTTGGCTCAGCAGGGAGTCTCCTTCCCCTCTTCCTCTGCCTACCCCCCACCTTGTTCTCTCTCTCTCTCAAATAAACCTTTAAGAATAAGAAAGAAAGAAAGAAAGAAAGAAAGAAAGAAAGAAAGAAAGAAAGAAAGA